TGTGTGTGTGTGTGTGTGTGTGTGTGTGTGTGTGTGTGTGTGTGTGTGTGTGTGTGTGTGTGTGTATGTGTATGTGTATGTGTATGTGTATGTGTATGTGTCTGTGTGTGTGTGTGTGTGTGTGTGTGTGTGTGTGTGTGTGTCTGTGTGTGTGTGTGTGTGTGTGTGTGTGTGTGTGTGTGTGTGTGTGTGTGTGTGTGTGTGTGTGTGTGTGTGTGTGTGTGTGTGTGTGTGTGTGTGTGTGTGTGTGTGTGTGTGTGTGTGTGTGTGTGTGTGCGTGTGCGCACGTCAAGAAAAGGGGCCCTTTCTTGTCCCTGAGCAAATCTGAAATTGATTCCAGTCGAGTTTGTGTCCAAAACGAGGAGTGTGAGGTTGACATGAGAACGGGAGCTTGGTGTCGGGCACAAACCTGTTTGAAAGTTTGTGCCTGGACATGGGTAAAACTGAAACCTCAATAGGGAGTTCGCAGGAAAAACCATCACCCATGTTTGGACTGTGTCTTCTTCAAAAGAGAACTCAAATTCACACAGGCCCCAGCTGGGAAAACCACACATTTATCCAGAAAGGGTTATGAATGGTTGCGAGTCCGATTCTGTCTCATCCGGAAAGACCGCATCCCCGGCAAAGAACCTCTATCGTGGAGCTTGGTTCCCCCCAAACACGCCCAATGCGAGAATTGTAGAGGCTGACAGGGGGGTTGGAGTTGTGGAAGGCCAGTCGCCTGGCCGGCTCGGTAGATTCCCAGAAATGTGGCTTGTTTTTGCTCACCAAGGACTTGAGCTCTTGCTTTGCCCCCAGGCCCCACGTACCACAGAAGCCGCCCGGAGCCCGCTCGGAGCCCGCCTGCGGCTTTCCGGAGGGCACCCGTGCAGGCCGGCGGCAGAAAGGCTGGCAGGAAAGGCACGGGGCGAAAAGAAGCCATCGCCATTTTGGTGGAGCCATCCCCTGCCCACTGCGGAGCGATTCTCCGCCTCTCCCAACTTCTCAGGCTACGCCCCTGCCCTTGCAAGGGGGGGTGGGGGGCAGAGTGCAACCTTCAATCCAGGATGGGCAGCCCCGAGATGAGTGGCTTTCCATTGGCGTTCCTTCAAAGGTTCAAAAAGGGGAATGACACTCAAAACGGACACACCCACCGGGCAAATGCTGTCTGTTGAAAGCCCAGTCAGCGGTGCACGGCTCATTTCTGGTCCGGATTCAGCTCCGCCCAGGCATGCGAGGGTTCCAAGGCGAGTTTTCAGAAACAGCGCTGGAAGTTCAAAAACTTGCTGGTGCTCAGTAGGGAATGAGGGAATGAACCCAGGCTTTGGTCCCCTTAAAGGAAACCACGAGGGATGGTTTATAGGGGTCATTCCCTCATTCCCTACTCAGCAACAACAAGAAAAGTTGCAGATGGTTCAAATAACATCCCGCCTCTAGGCAACTCTCCCCACTCTCTGCAAGCTCTATCCCGTCACGGGATTCAAATCAATGCACCCTTGACCATCACAGCAAAGGTGAGGTGATAACAGGGGACTGGCAATTGTTGCACAGACGCCTGAGACACCCAATTGTCATGCACTTTTGGCGAGATACGGAGTGCACCTCGAACATGAGAACAAAAACGCGGCAAAGGCAAAGTGATTAGAGATGCTGTAGGCACTAATCACTTGCTCTGCCTTGCAACAATGAAATCCCACATGATCGGCGGGCATGCAAACAAACTGGAATATTGGAATACTGGAATCCGTTTCGGTGTTAAACACTGGTTGGGCGGTTGGGCGGTGAATTCTGTCTATTCGCAGAGTTGCCAGTGTTGCCAGTGTTGCCCAGCAAAATGGGCCTGTGCTCCATGTAGATGGGCTGCGTCAGATGCAGCTGCTTGGAATTGTCCAGGAACTTCGGGGGTAGCAAGACCCAGCTGCCCTCCCGCGCCCGCACCTGTTGGAGCAACCTGACGGCCGTAGGAACCTCGTTCCCCGCGTGCGCCAGCGCGTGCCGCAGCTGCTCCACACCAAAGCCCTGGCAGATGTCCCCGTAGGTGGCGCGGCGGCAGGCCAAGTTCTGCAACTTCTGACCGTCCACCTTCCAGGGGCCGAAATCCCAAACCCGGGCACCCACCAAAAGGCTGCCCTTCGCGTTCGTGGCCAAAAGCCGAGAAGTCGAAACACTTTACTTGGTGCTTCCAGAATTGTTTGTAGTCAGATTGTGTTTTCCGATTTTGCAGAGCCAAGGAGCCCACAAAAAATCAGCATCCCCTCGAAAAAGGCCCCACCTGGTGCAAGGCAATGGCCGTGGCCGGATGCGGGAATCGAAAAGGCTCACGGCAGTGCTGCCTGGCTCTCTGGACCCAACGCATCAATGCAGCACGCACCATGCCTCCGCTGACTTGGCCAAAATGATGTTAGATGTGGGTGGGGGGTTGATCAAAAGGTTCGTAAAACATGGGATGGCCATTGGGGAAACCCACCCAAAAAGGATGCCACGAAATGGGGAAAGATACTCAGGGTCATTTGGGGCCCAGGAATTCTTGATCAACCCCCGCATGTTAGGACCCCACAAGTAAACTGCTTGGGGAACCAAGCTCAATGCGTTGAGAACTCCTCAAGAGATGTGGAAAAACCGTCCAAAAGCTTGAAGTATGCCAAGTTGGCAGCTAAGATGCCCCCCACTTTGGCGCCAGCAGGGTAGCCGACAGCGGCGTCCAACACAGAGCAGTTGCAGATCTCGATCCAATAGCCATCCGGATCCTCCAGGGAAGGGGAAACGGGGGAATCTGTAAAACCTGGTCGCAGATGACCTTTTGTACAAACCCTTCTTTGAAACCAGTTGCAGCCAATCTGCATTCAAACGCACTTGTCTGCAGCTAGATGCCCATATGGCGGGGGCTACTCTCCAAAAGGATGGTCCCCCGAAAAGGCTTGTGTAACTGAAAGCGGGGCCACCATGATGAGAACCCCCCTGTATATTGCTTGCTTGGATCTGTTTTGGGCGAACCTCATTTCGGATTGTGTTTGCAAAACCTGATATGGAGGTGCCTTGTCTACGACACATCTTAGCGGGGTTGTCTCCGACTGGTGGTCGTCCTTGCGTTTCCTTTTAACTTATCGGGAACACACCCATACTCCTTAGCCCCAAACCGCGTCATCTGCAACCCAACAAATGTGTAAAATATTTGAGTGCAAAATCTTTGAGGCACCATTCGTCGTTGTTTTCGACCCCAAAGACCGCATCAACTGCGAGCCTAAAGATCAGGCTGTTTCACGGACGACGCGGGCCGTTTTGGGGTCACAGCTTGCGCTCGGCGAGCGCCCGAGGGCCTCAAGGAAGAATTGGGTCACCTTGCCCTCACCGTCCGTGTGGGACTCGAACTTTGCCGTGCGCGAAGTCTCAAAGGTGGGCACCGACACATTCTGGCGCCACCACACCTCCTCGAACTTCACCTCCTGCAAAAGAAACCCCGCTCATCTCATCCGGAAGAAAGGCCCCTTCAACGGCGGGCTGGCAACCGGCAGTGCTATCTTGCCCGCGACGGCCAGGGACCTTCTACCGTTCCCGGGCTTCGTTGGACGAGCTTGGGTCTCGTACCTCCAAGGGACCTGCGCCTCCATAAACATTTCTCCCCAGCACCCACAAATCGAAGATGTATGAGGCTTCTCTACACATTTTTTCAGGAGTGATCCTCCTGGTCAAGCTCCAGCTAAACTTTGACCTGCCCTGGTTGGAAGGCATCTCCAAAAAGAAGAAGAAGAAGAAGAAGAAGAAGACGTCCTGCTGTCCAGTCCCCGAGTCAAATTCCTCCTAAACCCCAAACCCTAGAGGGCCAAGGCCCGTCGTCCCTTCGTCTTTGCATGCGTCGTTCTGGACTTTCGCGGCAATTCTCTCATGTTTGGCTTTGTCTTGCACGTCACCCTCTTCGCTTCTTCGCCTTCAAATGTCAGTCTTCGCTAGGCTCGCCTTTTCGCGCTGTCCGTCTTCAAACTGTGTCTTCAGTCGTCACATGTTCCGACTTCGCGCTCCAACTGTGCCTTCACAAAAACTGCCTTCAAAGGTTGCCCCTTGTAACAGTGCGACGTTTGATCTTCCTTTTGTGATGATGCTTCGACTTCTGCCTATTAGCTCTTTCAAGAAATGATGTGGATTTGACCTCTGCAATTGGTGGTTGATGCCTCCTGAATTCCGGGGCTCCAAAAAGAACAGATGGATTCCTTTTGGCAGCCCTTGAAAAACAAAAAAGACACCTACTTTGCTCTGTCTCAAGATGGACGTTGCCTTTGTTTTAACAAAAACGACACAATTCCAACTGAGCCCCCCCCCCCCCTCGGGAGGAAACCTTGCCATACCACGTCCATCCCCCCCCTTCCCCGACCCCGGCCCGTTCCACGGTAGCCTGCTGCATCTGCTCCAAGCGCCGGAGCACAGCAGAGGCATCCGTGACTTCCAGGGCCAGGTGGCACACGATGAGGTCGTCTGGATGCTGGCCGCGCTTGGTGTGAGGCTTGCCCTTGATGAGGTGCAGCTCGATGTTGCCCATGCTAAGCCACGCCTTGGTTTTGCGTCCCATGCTCTCTTGAACCGAGCTACTTTTCAAAGCGAACTTTCATCATGAGGTTTCAAAAAATGATGCCTCCAGCTTGAACTGAGAGGCCAAACCGGCAGCTCTGCCTTTCACGTTCTGAGAGTGTTCATCGTGTGGCCTACTTATCCCTGTGTAGGGGGAAAAAGGGTACAAAGAACCTCCGAAGATTGCTTCACAAAAGGCAAGGACACGATTGTGGCCTGGGTTTGCAGCCTGGATGAGAGGGGAACCTGCACACCGATTCAGCAAAGACTCCCCGTGGCGATCAAAGTTGGGGCGCCACACCTGCTGGAAGCCAATGATGTCCGAGTACCACGCCAGCGAGCGGCCCACATCCTCTACGATAATTGCCAGGTGGTTCGCCCTGCGCAGCAAATCTCCCAAGCCACGGACCTCCTGATCGAGGATTAAACCCACTACCCCCCAAACTACTGCGGAAACACAAAAAAGAAAAAGAAGACGGGGAAAAAACACTTAATTAGTCTAGTCAGTATGCAGTGGTTGCATACGCAATGAAAACTCTGAGGCACAAAACACCCCGGTCAAAGCATGCCAGCCCGCTCCTGCTGCCCATCCCTCTGCACACCCTTCTGCGCTTGCGTTGTGGCATCTTGCAGCGCTCTTTGCCTTAGTTCAACCAGCCCCAAAAGCGTTCTCTCAAACAAGGCCTGCCCATGTCAGCAAGAGACAAAGATGCAAGATGTTGACAAAGCTGAGCCCAGTTGCGTAGCTAAAACCCTCCTATGAAAGAAGCCCGCAGCCGCAACTCCCACCAAGAAGGAGCTGACCCCCACCAAAATGGCGGGCACCATTTCAGCTCAGGGTGGTCCTTTTGCCGCCGTTGGCCAAGTTTGGGTCGCATGCCTCCAAGACAAATCCTGAACCTTAGAACGCAAAACCCATACACTTTGTCTTCTGATTAGCCAAAAGGACCACCCCATTTTGGCGAGTGAGGGGAGGATGGGAGACAACGTCTGGCCTCTCACTGAGGTCCAAAACTGCACGATTCAGCAAACAGCCGTGCATTGAGGTGGAAGAATTGGTCTCCAATCCAGCATTCCTTGCCTGGCTTGGGGGCCAAGTCAAAATATTCAAGCGAAAACCAAAGAAAGAAGCACAGGAACGTTGCAAATGGGGCGCAAGTGAGCCAACCGCAAAGCGCCTTAGAAGGGCCTTCTGGGTAGAGCGGGTCTGCATTTGTCTCTTCTGACCTCTCTCGCATCCAAAAAACATGTTGAAAGAAGACTTGTGCCGTCTCCGAGCCCAAGGCTCAAGGTAAATGACACAAGCTCCTACATGCTGTGGTGCGTCCATTGGGTGCCTAAGCCTGGCAAAAAAACAAAGGAGCGCCCTGCATACTCTTTTCCTGCGGCCGGTGGGAATCAGAAGGACCCCAACCTACTGGCCAGCAACAAGCCGAAGCTCACCTTCGACTAGGCCTTAGGCCTCATTTGGGGAGGGAATCTCAGTAGCTCATCCCGAAACAGAACTGGCATGCATCTTCCCTTCACGGAAAGATTGAAATTCGATTCGCCCCCGGCAGTTTGTGCCTGGCGATGTCGGAGATGCAATTGTTACATCGCCCGATCCGTTGCCTGGTGGCACCGGAAAGAGCCTCAGGCTTCGCCTGGAGACTCAAAACTTGTGGCCGTAGTCCTACTCGCCCCGCGCGGGAGATGGGTATGTGTCAAAACTAGGAACCCCCTCTGAGCAATTGGGGTCATGGCGTGAGAGGTCAAAATGGCCTTGCTTTCTCTCTAGTTTTGACACACGGCCATTTTGTTCGGCGCGAGGCTTAAGAAGACCAAGCATCAGGTGGCCCAAGGTTGATCTTTGGGTACCGGCTTGCCCTGCCTTCAAACACGATGGTCCTTTTGTAAACAATCAGAACTCGACATCAAAATTGAGACCTAGACAAACTGTGAGAAGATGTACGCATTGCCGGCGTTGCCCAACAACACCGGCTTGGGCCTTTCCATGTAGATGGGCTGGGTCTGATGCAGGTGCTTGGAGTTGTCCAGGAACTTCGGGGGCAGCAAGATCCGTTTGCCCTCCTGTGCCCGCACCTGTTGGAGCAACCTGATGGCCACAGGAACATGGTTTCCTGCATCCGCCAGAGCCTTCCGAAGCTGCTCCACACTGAAGCCCTGGCAAATGTCCCCGTAGGTGGTGCGGCGACACGCCAAATTCTCCAGCTTCTGACTGTCCACCTGGCTCAGTCAGCGGGCCAAAATCCACATTCGATGCCATCGATTTCCCTCACGCCAGCAGTCGCACACAGATCCAAAACAGGCTAGAGACTTGCTTTCCGGCAAAGGGACCTCAAGACACACCAAACTGGTGTTCTAGCCTTGGGGTTCGGCCATCGTTTTGTGCGGTTCCAGGCAACCCATCAGACGGCCTTCCCTTCCTTTTTTCCCAGGCCCTCCTGGTGCAAGGCAATGGCCATGGTTGGGCGCAGGGTCCGAAAAGGCGCACGACAACGCTGCCTGGCTCGGTCGGCCCACTGCTTCACCAGAGCCTTCACCTGACAAGCAGCAGTTTTGGTGGGGTGGACCGCATTTTTTGGTGGGGTGGACCCCATTATTGGTGGGGTGGACCCCATTTTTGGTGTTCACCCCACTTTTTGTGGAGTTGACCCCATGCTTCGTGGGAACCACCGGACAAAACGGGAAAAAGAGTCCCACTAAACAACTGGGAAACCTGAAACGCGTTCTGAAAACTTTTCTGTCCCAATCCATAATCCCCTCCAAGATCCAACACAAAAGCACCTACTCATGGTTGGGACTCACTCCTTCACTACAAGCTTTTAATACTCGCCTTAGGAGAAATGGCGTCTACATGGCGGCCCTCGTCCAAGCAGAAGTCGGTGAGCTCGGAGCAATTGCAAATCTCGATCCAATAGCCATCCGGATCCTTGATTCTCAAAGTGGGAGGACGGCTTTTGCTTTTGGCTTCACAGCCATCGGGGAAACCCTCAGCCTGGTTCACTTTTGGCTGGTTTCGGGTTGGGAGGGTTTAGGGTTGCTGTACTTTGGGCTGGTTTAGGGTTGGTTTAGGGGGGGGTTAGGGTTGTTTTGGGTTGGTTTTAGGGTTGGCTTAGGGTGGGGTTTCGGGTTTCGGGTTAGCTTCTGGTTGGTTTAGGGTTCAGGGATGGTTTAAGGTTGGCTTACGGCCTAAAGGAACCACGTCCATGATGAAGCAACCTGCAACGCTTCAAGGACACTGCCCTTCCCAGTGCCATCCATGGGAGCGCAACGCTCAAATAGCATGTTCCACTCCGCACATGGTCGAGGAAGAATCGCAAAGTGGCCAATGCAGGTTCAGGGTTCTCCATTGAGAGTATACAATTGGGGACGCTAACCACGGAACAACCTCCTCCGCAAAGAAAAACAAAGCGACACAGGGGATAAGTCGAAACTACGGACCTGTTGCTTGAGATGGCGGTTGTTTATGGCAATGAACTCAAAAGACATAACTAAACCCACACTAACCATTCGGGGAGGGCCGCGACCTCTTTGGTCGAATCAATCAGAAAAGCGAAAAGTGCCATAGGCCCAGAGGTTTTTGCCACCCGAGGGCCTCAAGGAAGAATTGGGTCACCTTGCCCTCTCCGTCCGTGTGGGACTCGAACTTTGCCGTGCGCGAAGTCTCGGGGGTGGGCACCGACACATTCTGGCGCCACCGCAAATTGTGCTGCTGCACCTCCTGTGCTCGGCTGGTTTTTGTGTCATGTGCCCTTAAGGGTGGATCCCCTTCATGCCATGTTTTTTGTATGGACGCAAATTGGAAAAAAGGATGCCCTGGTCGACAACCGAACTTGGGAGGAAGCAGGACAATCGAGTGCCCGCCTGGTCAGCCAGTCGGTGGTGGCGTGGTTACTTCACTGTTTGGTCGGTCAGTCGGTCATTCAGACAGGCGTCTCGGTTGCCTCAACAACTTGATCGCCCATGGTGCTTTCATTCGGTCACGCGATTCTTGCGCGCCCCGTGACCAGCTTCTGGGGAAGCCCAAGCTTTACCCCAGCCTTCCGAAAAGCCAAAAAAAAGCATAGTCGAGGTAGCTGGACCGGTCTTTTTCCCGGAAGACCATTTTTTGCTCCTGGGCCGAAATACTTCAAAAATCACACTTCTGTTACCGAACGGGTCCTCATCTAAGCGTTCTCTGGTCTCCCAAAAGCGGTCCAAAGTGTGGTCGAGGCAGCTCAACCATAAGATGGTTATGTAGAGCCTATATGCTGCACTTTTATGAAAATTCTACCTTTGGAAGCTTGCATGTCGTTGTTTTGTTCTCTTTTTTTTCCCCTGGGGAGATGTGGAAGTATGTGTCATCCAACTGGCCAAACTCGCCAATGCTCAAAATTGCAATTTGGCTGCCTGAAGTAGATAGCATTGCTATGCACATAAGCGCAAAAGTTTTCTTTGGAGAAACCTTGCATTCTCCGTGTTTCGTAATTGTGTGCTTTGTTTGTGTTTTTTTCCTCATGGAGGCATGCAGACGAGGTGGTAACATCTTTTGAGCCCTCAACAATGCACAATGCATGAAAAAAGTGTCAAACGGGAACAAATCGGAAAGGGTTGCGCGCAGCTCACCACCGGCCCAGCACACGAAGCACGACCATTTCAATTGAAGGTGGCCCGGCATATTGGCCTGATTGTCCATGCTTTTTTATAGCCTTTCCACCGTTCCACAGATTGTTCATGGATTGTCCACGGTCATTTTCCAGAGCATGCATTTGTTCAACCAAAAATCATGCAGACTGTCGATATCTTGAGCTGACTGCCAAAACGTTGTCACTGAATTCGTGTTCAGACCTTTGCCAAAAGCGCAGAAAGTTCTGCATTCAAGGATGGAAGTGGGCTGATGGTCAGGAACATGCATACCGCTACATTTTGCCACATGTCGTGTTGGAAAGCACAATGACGGTTTTCCTCCTGATCAGCGAGCTACTAAAACTACATGCGCAGGACCCTGCAGCAAGCTGAACTTCCCGGGGTCCATGTCCACTCTTTTGGAGATCTCCATTTTACGGCCGAGGGCTGTACTTTTATTACTTTTTATTGATAGCCGTTGTCTTTCGTTTTGACCTAAGCCATGCCAAATACGCTCGAGAAACGCCAGGGTGTTGCAGGTAGGAGAGCCCCTAGCTCTCCATTTTATGGTCGAGGAACATTACTTTTATAACCTTTCATTTTTGCATGGTTGAGGTCGTAAAAAGAAAAGTCGAGGAAGCACTGGGTTTAGCACATGAGCAGGCTGGGTGCGTCCTTTTTGACCCCGTGCTTGTCACGCATGCGAATTTGAATGACAAAGGATGCGTCAGGACAAGTGGTGCGTCCCCTCACCAGGTACAAATACCCATGGCACCGCCAGGATGTTGGATGCTGGAGTGTTCAAGGAATCGGCAAGCCCAACAAACTTGGGTGTACATGCTTGAAAGGTGATGAGCATCAACATCATAACAAGTGCTCTTTCCAAATGATCCCCCAAAATTTTATAACTGGCTAGTTCCCAGTTCCCCTTCCCATCCCCCTCCAACCAGTGGCGCCGCCATGAAACTCGTTCCAAGGAGTAGTTCATACCCCGCAACTCCTCCCCCCCCCCCCACCTGCATCTGCTCCAAGCGCTGGAGCACAGCAGAGGCATCCGTGACTTCCAGGGCCAGGTGGCACACGATGAGGTCGTCCGGATGCTGGCCGCGCTTGGTGTGAGGCTTGCCCTTGATGAGGTGCAGCTCGATGTTGCCCATGGTGAGCCACGCCTAATTGAACTTGTGCTAGCAGGTTTTCTGGGCGCCGTCAAGAGCCCGAAATACGAAACAATAATCTTAACACCGTGTTCAAAGCTTGAAAGAGCACAAGACCACCCAGCGGAGAGTCCCCGTGGCGGTCGAAGTTGGGGCGCTGAATCTGCTGGAAGCCGATGATGTCCGAGTACCAGGCCAGTGAGCGGCCCACGTCCTACCAGGGCTAGGAAGACTGGGAAGCTTACAAGCTTTTCGTTTGTCCACAAAACGGACCCAATCTGGGAAAGGGCAGAAGCCCATGTCTAGAAAAAGGACCACCACCAAAAAAAGCCCGCAAGGGAAACTCCTCCACGATGATGGCTAGGTGGTTGACTCTGCGCAGCAAATCGCCCAGGCCGCGAACTTGCTTCTTATCCTCACATGCGACTAAAGCACCTGCATCTGAACCCTTTTGAAGTTAACTGAAGCAATTTCATGTCATTTCATTTCAATTGCCTCCTGCTGTGACTGGAAACATGGGCACAAGGAGCCAGGGCACTACAACTAAAGCCAACCAAAACAAAATAATACATGTTTCTCTGGACAACTGAGTGTCCCAATGCAATTGCTCCTTCTCTTCCTCCTGGGCGTCTTTCAACTCTTTCTGCATGGCTGCAAGTTTGTTTTCAAAGAAGCCTGCCGCCGTTGCGCCGCCCGCCAAGAAGGAGCTGATGCCCAAGGCTGCAGCCAGCACCATGTTGCAAGCGGAACTGGGGAGTGCAGGCAACGTGTGGCCTCTGTGCCGAAACTTCAAGCGGGGTCAGTCATGGATCCACCCTGCGCTGCCCGACCTGAACCCCTACCGGGGGGGGGGGGGAAAAAAACTGTATAGACTGGCTTACAGGACATACCAGCTCAAATCATTTGAGCTAGTGCTCGGTTGTCAAATTCAACGCGTCAATTGCTCCAACCCACCGTGCTGATACGAAACAACCGATGGGACGCACCCGCCCGCAAGAGAAGAGCAGCCGCCACGAGATGGACTCTCACACCTCAAAGCCCGGCCCATTCGTGTGAGCCATTGCTGGATGAGGACGAACTGCCCCTCCCTGCCAACGGCCTCCCCAAAAGCACTGTGCCCCACTCCTAGTGCCAGCACCGCAGTCGGCCGCCTTTGCACCGCTTGGTCCGACCAGCGAGCAACAAATGCGGACGGAGCGGGAGAGGGAGAGTGAGCGAGCGCAACTGCCTCCGTGCCGCCTCTGCACCGCCAAGAGCATGCCCCAATTCACTGTTGCGGGACGAGGCCATTGGGGCTGATTGCTTGAAAACACAAGCCGGTTTGACAACGTGCGCTCAGCAGGCGCAGGACACACGGTGATCGCCACGACGTCCCAGCCACACCCAGAGAGAGTGCTGTCTTGGTTGATCAATGCCCTTGACACTACCAGCCCCCAGTCATGCGGAGCCGCTGTGTGCGCCACGTCAGGCGAGTGGCAGGGGCTTGAGCTACAAATTCGAAGAGGGGGGGGCAGTGGAAGCAAGCAAAATGTAGGAGCGGGCGCAAGGCGGAAGCGGTCGTTGACAGCGCGTCCGGTCTTCCGAGGGGTCCCAGGCCGCGCGGGTGAGAGCCAAGCGCTGCCCGACAAGGTGGACACCACAGCCAACCTGCATGTTTTGTCTTTTTGCGTGCCTTTTTTTTGGTCACACGCCTTTTTCCAGCTGCCGACTCGAAAGGCCACCCAAAACTGCCCAGTGACGGGCCCTGCCCTAACCGCGAAGCGGCAGACGGCCACCGAGAGGAGACCCCACCATCGTCGCTCCCACGCGACAACGGCTGCCCGGCGGAGCGAGGGCGGTGCGCGCCCCCAACGCCTGCCAACCTCGCTAGCGAGAACGCAAAGGCGGTGTGGGCCCAGGCGCCGCAGCTCCAGGTAGGCATCAAGCTTGCGTTGCTCTGCCGTACGCAACGCCGCGCAGTCGCAATCGGCGGCTCCTGCCTGCGCCCGGCCCTCGCAGCTCAACAGCGCCGATCTGGCCCTCGGGTGACTGCACCCACATGCTCTCAATCGCGTCGTTGCGTGGAGAGTTGATGCGGTGGTGCCCTTAATGCTTGGGTGTACGCCACTGGGCCAGCAAAAACTGGCGAAAACCTGTGTGACCGCTGGCGAGGTTGAGCAGCTGCTGCGTGTAAAGGCGATGCTCATGCATTTCAGCCATGGAACTACCCAGGCTGAATACATGCTGCGAACCGTACACAGTGCAAGCAAACGGTTGTTCGAATTTGGTAGATTTAGTAGCCCAGCTCGATCCACGCAACGCATGCGCTGTCAAGTACAACTAAGCTACGTGCGTGCGTTGAATGTCGCCGGATCGCATGCTGGCACGCGCTGCAAGAAGAAAGGCTCCTCAAATTGTGCAAAGGCCGGGCGGGCAGTCTTGCGGCGGCTTGTGTCCCGAACCTTGGCGCAGCATTTTGCAGATCACTTCGATGCGGCTTGTCGCCCGTAAAAATATGTGTTGTCGACCCTCCGGTGCTGAGGCCCTGGTCCACACTTCGGTGAGTGCTGGGGGTTTGATACGAAGTGCATAGTTGGACCGTGGCGACGCGCAGTACAGCAACAGCAGCCAGGCGACCTGCAGGTCAGGAAGGGTTGGGAGGACCTGCAGGAGGCGAAGTTGTTCACTGCGTCGAGCTGGGCCCGCGCAACTGCATTTCCGCCCGCAAGGGCTCCTAGAACAGCACTCCCTTGCTCTGCCTCGGGGAGCTGAGCATTGCCACGCCACACATCTGCTGCACTTATGTCCGCCAGGCCTGGCGGCTCAACTGCGGCTGCGTTCCACGTTCACACAAGCATCGGGACGCAGCCTGAAACAGCGGCGTATGCGCTCAGGCGGACTGGGGCTGCGTTCAGCCCGGTTGCATGCACCTGCGGCGTTTTGGGCCTCGTGGGCTGACAGCTTGTCGGCAATTCACCGGAAAGATCCCGACCTCGTTGTACGCCAACTCGAGCCGGAGGCGCCTTTGCTGTCCTGGACACTCTCAGGGCAGCCGTGACCCTGCTCGCTCGGCAGGGGTTTGAGGCCCCTCAGTGGCACCAACTTCTTGCCAACGCTGTGCCACAGCCGCCTGATGTTGAGGACATTTTTCTCCAACGCCTTTTTTACGACTACCGGAGGGTAAAACGTACGAACCAGCCACGGAAACCCAAGCTACGCGGCACAGTTACGGGAACCAGCACATGGCATGCGTCGCCGCCGGGCTTTTCGGGGGGGAGCTCGACCTCGCGCCAGATGCGCCTTGGGCGGCGATCGCCAGCAGTTGGCCCCAGCGGCGTGTGAACGCCCCGGCCGCAGCCGCGCGCTGGCTGGCTGCCGCCACCTCCAGGCCAAGCACGGGCACCGGCTAGCAGTGGCGAGCTCCGGGTAGGTTGTCCGCCGCTTCCTCTCCTCAGCTTCGCGGAGGGCTTTGCCAGGCTCGACGTCATTGCCGGGCCGGCTAACTCCGTACCGCTGCACGGGAGATACCAGGGAGATACCAGGGTGACATCAACGGCGACCAGGGAGCCGCCAGGCCATTCGCGACGACCTCGATCTGGCGCCCATCGCGCGGCGGCACATCGAGGTTGAGGTCGCGGAGGAAGACGCGAGCCGTGGCACGCTCGAGGGGGAACGAGCGCCGCTTCAGCACTCCCGCAGGCGGCCCTGTGGTCGCCGAGGACGTCCAACGGCTCCCCGCACCGACAATGCCGGGGGGCCGCAGGCAGCGGCAATCGCAGCCTCCGAAGGAGGAGCGTGCGAAAAACGGCATCTGTGAGCCGGAACTTTTCCCTGGACGATGGTGGTGAAAGCAACGCTGCCTCCTGGCCCAGCTTGCGACAACATCAAGGCCCGAGACGCTGCGTCAAGTTCACGGAATAGCGTCTCAAGGGCCCTGCGGTCGATGACTGTGCAGGCTGCACGCTGCCATCCCCTGGCCATGCCGCCCCACTCGCGTGGGCGCTCGGCGAGCCAGTCACCACAGAGCCGGCGTCCTGCAGGGCAGCGGCGGCAGCGCGCGCAGTCGCAACGGCCGTGCGGGCATGGCCCCCAGCACCCTCGGTCAACGCCCGCAAGAGAGAAGCCAAGAGCAGGGGATGTCGCTCGCCTGTCACGGGGAGCGTGTCGTGGTCTCAAACCCAAGCCGCCAAGGCGAAAAGGCAATTGAGCTCTCCGGGCGCTGTTTACTGGCTGGGGGTAGGACCCTTGTCGCGTAATTGCACCGAGGGTACGCGCAGAGGAGCTGCAAGAGCCACGCGGCCTGGACGCTTGGCACTTGCGAGATACGCTGGGGGAGGTCTTCATGGCGAGCACGCAGCCCGCTTAGATGCTGCTGGACGAACTCGTCCCGCCCAAGTGGAGTGCCTAGGACGACCAGGCCTTGACTGGCCGGCGGCAAGGCCTGATCGCTTGTCCAGACGCCGGCCCTCACGCCAGGCGGCAAAGCGTCCAGGAGGGAGCGCGGTGGCTCGCCAGCAGCGTTTCAGACCCTGGTCTTGCCGAGGTTGACTCGAATGTTTGCTTGCTCGTGCAGCCCCTGTCCGAGCGCGGCAAAAGCCGTGACGGGCAAGTGACGTAAACATCGTCGAGAAAGGGAAGCAAGTCTCCGCCCGGCTCTAGAGAGCTTGGTGCTTGCAGCAAGGAGCCGTGCTGCCCCAGGGCAAAAACGGCTGGCATCAGCGGATCGCCCTGCTCCCCGCCTTCAGCTTGCACAATTTCATGCAGCTTCCCGTCGGCATCGTAACAAATAAGTGCTCGGGGCGCCACGACGTGGGGTGCAAGAGAGGAAAGGTGCAGACCCTGCAGCATGCAAAAGCGGGAGATAGGGCCACACGCGCCAATGCCGTTGATGCTCAAAACGGTCCGGCGGGGATCCCCCTGCGTGACAGCTCGCACTGCCCTAGCGAGCGCCGCAGCGCCCGCCCGCGCCGAGGGCGCATGCTGGAACGGCGCGCAGTTGGCGCTAAACACCGCGGCGAATTGCTGTGCCACAGGCCAACTACCCGCCCCAAACGCAAGGCGGCGAGCACCGGCTCAGCTCGCGCGACTTGCTGGGCCGCCGCGTGGAGGAGATCTGTATCCGTTTCGTGCTCAACCGTGCACCCTGACAGCCCCGCGCCCGCCCCCCGCCTACCCGAGCGGACGCTCCGCTCAGCTAACTGCGCCCGCAGGAGGTGCTCAGGCACTGGGACTTGCTGCTCCTGGGGCCGGCGTGCTGGGTCCCGCAAAGCCGCGAGCGTGTCAGAGTTGGGCGGGGGCAGCGGCGCGGCGGCGCAAGGAGCTCGGCGGAGCGCTTCATCATTTGTATTTGCCTTGCGTCGGGTCCGGTGTCTGCCAGGCCTGGCGGGCGCGGCTTGCGCTGCTGCGGCCGACTCGTCGAGGAGTTGTCGGCACCGACCCTCCGCGGCAAGCTGGGCTCGGCGCGAAAGCTCCTCTGGCACGAGGTGTGTCTCGCCCAGCCGGCGGTAGAGCAACATTCTGGGTGCAAGCTTGTCGGGGAGTCCGGCTTTCCCGCAGGCCGAGCCGGAAGAGTGTCCGCAATGCGCCTCGCATGCAGCCCGGCATTGCCTGGAGGGCACTCACTTGCGCGTCTCGGCCTCCAGCACGACCTCCCGGAGGTCGGCCCACAAGGCCTCTTCGGCAATGGGGCGTCCACCTGCGTCACTAGCGGCAACTTCCGCGACCCCGCGGCGTGCGCGCGGGCGCGCGCCGGGGTGCGACTGTGACCGCCTCCATCGCCGCGTCCTCCGGATGCTTGTTGCGCAG